ACAMYACMYTWMCKTWMSGTAATACTGTACTACTTCTACTGTATTAAAAAGCGAGGTTATTCACTAGCTACTCGTGAGCTACTTTCGCCTTTACACCTTCAGTACTGTATCAATACGTACAGTGCGATACGTAAGTACTGCTACGCTACGGAACCCAACAGTTTTATTTTGTTACGAATGCAGTCAGTGGAACCGTATCAGTGCCGTACCGTAGTACCGTACGCTTGTAAAGTCCGATACCTTTACTCGTACATCTTGAGCAATAGGCGTTGATATCACTCATGATAGATTTTGCGCCACAACATTTACTTCTATTACACCTACAGTAGGCTAYTCCGGATCCAAAAGCAAAATATAATAATGGCCAAACACCATCCAGATCTCGTAATGTGCAGAAAGCAACCTGGCGTTGCAATAGGAAGACTTTGCGAAAAGTGTAAGCGAGCGAAATTGGAATAACCATATTTCTGTCTTCGACAGACGAGTAAACGCCGAATTCATCTGATACTCTGCATCAATCTCACGTACAATTGATTGATGTGAATTGAACATCCCTTCCTTGCCTCAATGTRTATTTCAGGTGATGGGAAGTGCGTGATTTGTGATTCCTTCGTGAATCCGAAAGAAATGGTCCATATCTGCGACGAATGCAACTACGGTAGTAACGAAAACCGTTGCGTAGTTTGTGGAAATGTTGGTGTCACTGATGCATATTACTGCAGAGAATGTGTTCAACAGGAAAAAAATCGCGAYGGGTGTCCTAAGGTTGTGAATCTTGGAGCGGTAAGTGGCTTTGCCGAGACAGTGTTTGTTTGTACCCGTCTGCGTTTCAGCTTCTCTACATTTTAGTCTAACGATACGGTGCATTCAATACTGCTACTTTTGAACATTCTTTGATAAACAATCATTCTGTAGACAAAGACAGATTTATTTTATGAACGAAAAAAATATGGTTTCAAGAAGAGATAGCGTTCACTTTTCTCTTCTTCTTGTCGACAGATAGGGCAGAGTGACAAGTTGAAAGGCGCAGAACACTGGGAAGAAGRGAAACGCTATCAAACAAAAACTTCTTAAAAATCTGATTTACTTATTGAGAATGGTATCTCTTGATGTAAATATTGCGATTTCAAGTTGATCAGTTATAAAAGCTAAGTTGAGATGAATGTTTTAAATGTTGTCGAGTTGTCTTAAGATTGGGGGGAGGGGGGGGTCTGACCAGTTGCTACCAACTTTCTCTCCTCCTGCTTGTAGCCAACTGTTCAGCATTTAAGTAAACATCAATTTTTTCGCGGTAGAGATGTGTTGTTCTGGCGTGTGTTCATTCTTCGTCTCTTGTACTTCTAGCTTCAAAGTAGTCCTTGACACCGTGCAGTTTGAAGTGCTGTACGACGCACCGGGTGCGAGTAGTAGTTGTTGTTCTAGTGATTGTACCTAGAACCTTAAAATGGGTTTGTGATCGAGAAAACAAAAAATGTGGAGACTAGATCTTAATTTACATCGCCCCCCAAAATACAAAAGATTTATTGGTAGCAGAGTACGAACGAGTTTTGCGATAGCATTACCATTCGAGAGTTTTCGAGTAAGTTTTTTTGCCAACAAGTATCGCAGCTTTGAAGAGCAAAACGAGTACGGATAGAGATKATGATTCTTCCTTACTTCCCGTTTACTGTAATGTACGAGTACCGGTAGCAGTATGCWGTTCATCATCGTATCCATCTAACACCGTCATGACCGTATGGTACTACTGTACCGTACCGTACGTTCCGGTACGATAAGCAGACCATCGAGTAACAAAAAATAATTGATATGCAAACACAAATTGTTTTGTTTTGACAAGCTGTGCCATCACTATTTATTACTGGGCTGCCATACTTACAATTCTCAAATAGAAAATGTTTGCAGCAACCAGCAGAAGAGCCATCCAAACTTCGTTCAGACCAAGGGTAAGAGCAACAGTCAATGTCTATCGACGAAGAAAATGTTGTTTCACAACGATGCAATTTCGTCGTTCGAATTCCAATTTCTTCGACCGTGTCTCTGACCTTCTAAATTATGACATTGCCATCAATCGTCACATTTGCATTTGCAGTTCAGTAGAACATTCGCAGAGGATGCTGTAAAAACAGCAAAAGCGCCAGCGCCCAGTTCTCCCGGTAGAATTTCGGCCTTCTTCTCCCGTGTAAGTAGCTTTTTGGTCGGCGCGGGTTTAACCGCACTAGCTACTCAATACTATATCTTTGAGGAATTAAGAGAGGGAAACAAGACGATGATAGAAAAACAAAAGGACATTGAAAAGAGACTTAAGAGTTTGGAAAAATAATATGATTTGCAAGCTGATACAATATGTGGAACCTACTACATTTATTCAGAAGAATCGATTGAGTAAAATACGATRGAATATAAATTAACGACACGCGGAGTAAATGATAATTATTTCACAGTATCGATTGTATTCAAGACTGCATGAAGTCTTGTTCTTCTACTTTGTTGCATAAAGAATTACAAGCAACTGCGATAATCGGGACCAATTCTGGTTGCTCGGTGAAGGCACCATGGCATGCTCCTCGCCAGACAACAGACTTTATGTCACCTTTCTCCTCAAAGTAGCTACTGTCAACAGTCGCAGCGTCTGATAGTGGAACTCCATTAGATCGAAAGTAATTCATAATTTTTTCAGATGGCACCAACGCATCCTTATCAGCAAGGAAAATAGTGCACGGGACGTTGACTTGATCCAAAAATAGTGCGATCCAAGCCCAAGGAAATGCGCGTTGTATTGTCCAGTTTACCATCATATCCGTCCGAACAATGAAGGCGATGGACCCAGGATCCGGTCGATGGTAAACAAARCTCTTCGTTAAATGAGGATGGTGAAGGCAGAAACAAATTGGGTCTAGAAATAAGAGAGCTGCCACTGCACTGTGAGCATATTTGCAAACGTAAGACAACCACGTGGTTCCATACGAGTGTCCTATGAATGTACCCTTTGAAAATCCATGGTAAGCCAACATGGCTGTCATCTGTGGTGAAGAAATTGAATCGAGACACCGAAAGCATAAGTGATCAATTAAGTTGGATTCACGGGGCGAGGTAAACTACGATAGAAATGCCGAACGTACCGTACTCGCAACGTCAGCTGGACTTAGTACATTTCTGGAACTTTGCCACGGTCGAAATGCCGAGACATATGGAAGCTCTGGGAGGAATAAAGGACGCCCCGACTCCATTAAGGCATCAATMACTGGTATATAAGCTATGAGACCAACTCCAATACCGTGAATGAAAACAACAGGAATTGTCTTCGAACCATCRCGAGGTGGAAGGCCATTATGATCAATGTTCTCGGAATTCATTGACTCAGACGCGTAATTGCTCCCCGGGTGGTAGTAATATGTGACAGGACCAATGTTTCGTCGTTCAAAACCTCGTCTTTTGAGTAGAGTACGCAGAATGCTTTCTGTCGAGATCAATAGAAACAAAGTGATGCACAGTGGTGATGAGGCAATTCCCAAAATCGGATCAGATGAATACCTCGCATATCGCCTAGGCTCTTGGCGCTTAAAGAGAGAATTGTCCGCCAATTTCCCAGCAGCACTAATAAAACCATCTTTGGCTGCTGCTTCTATGCTTTCCAATGCTTCGTGGGCTTCTGTGATAGTCCTCATAAGGGCTGCCATCTGTTTTGAGTTTACTGCATACGACATTTCTCTCATACGTGTCAACATGGCTCGATTCCCTCGCACTTGCTTCATCAAAGCTTTCCGCCTCTCTGACAAGAAATTTGCAGTATCTAGACGTTCTTTCATTCCCTTGACTGATTTCCAGGCTTCGGTTAGTTGGAKGGACGTTGCGTGGCCAAACGCAGAAAGATGTTTCTCCATTTGGGATCCAGGCTGAACGATTGTTTCGTACATATTTTGGGCAGATTTCAAGGCGGATTCTTCTGCTGAATGCGACATTTTCGCTGCCTGTTGCGCTGTTTCTGCAACAAGATTTCGGAGGTCTTGTACTGGGTTGAAATCAACATTTTCTATCATGTTCTTATATTTATCGTAGCGAACTTTGTAGGCTTCGTAAAGGTCCGAGAAAACACTCGGTCCTTCTCTTTCAATATCTCTTCGAAAACGAAATACTGCAGTAGTMAATGAAAATTGTCAGAAATTCACCCGTCGATTCTTTGATTCTTGTGTAGAATTGGAGGGAATAGATCAATCTCGCTAAAGAAGGGGTGGAGGCTCCAATGAATTTTCACTTACATTTTTTTGGTCGGGGACGAGAAATTGATGRCGGACTCGCCCAAGATCCCGACCTCAGACTAGTTGGTGTTTCTCTTTCTGTGGATTCTATACTATGCATCCTATATTTCAGCGGTGAACCATACTGTGTTCCATCGGCTGAATTCAAATCATTGTTGTAGCTTTCAATCATGTCTGTTTCGGAAGCAGTAGCATCGTCAGAGTATGATCTACGTCGGTTCACTGGTAAATCGTGAATACGAGGCGAATTATTCTCTCCCAATCCGTCCAATAGAACTTCTTCATTCTCTCCTATGGATACTATGTCAGGGCCGGTCTCATCAATGGCTCCGTACATCTGCAGTGAAAGACGATATTCGAGATCCTCCACAAATCCTTCTAAATCATTCAACTCGTGGGTTGTCAAGTGTTCCTGATTCCTTCCATCAAAGAGTGCCCAGCACACTAAATCATAAATTTCATACAGTGATATTGTTTCGATTGCTGGCCGATCCAGAAACCATTCTTGGATCCAGGACGGTTCGGTTTCGACCGCCATGATATGCTCCCAGAGTGCTTTGCGTTCATCCGGATCTTGCATAGGAGCTGCACTCAGACAAGCTTCCAAGGGGTCTTTAGCTTGCAGATATCGAATTTTMAGATTGCAATAAATAAAAAAGACTGCCTCGATGATGCACCATACGTCTACAAGACGACATCCATAGTAAGATTTCATCATTTTGGTCAGTTTGGCCATGAACGGCAGATATATCTCGAGCGGCTGTTGAACTGTTTCAGGAAAGTATTCGCAAAGATCCCTAAGCAGCATCATAGCGATGTAGATATAAGCCAGTGGTGCGATTAAGAACAAGAAATACCACAAGAAGGCCCAGGGTGATTGGAATCCTATATGATTTGGTTCCATCGGCAACTGATAGAATGAAGAAAGGAAACAATATTGTTTGAATAAGAATCCCGAGTTTACCAAAAWGACGGGGCAACGAACGTCGACACCAAGAACTYTAGAGAATCCACGTTGTGAACCACCAGTTCAAATTCAAATGGATGGAATGTCACTTACATCGTTAGTACGGATTTTGCTTGAGGGTTTCCGTGTGAAATATTTACGGCTGAGACCAGGGTCGCCACACTGGACGCTGTCTGGTATACGTCTTGATCGCCGAGATGACACAGATGATCTGTTCCTCAGCTGCCCCATCGTTTTGTWTTCCTTYTATTTGGCTCGAATCCRCAAAAAATCCATAGGAGAAAGTGCTTCGTGACGCTTTGTTCATCCGTTCGTCGAGTTCGATKTTGGGAATTAATTTACGACGCAGGCGACAACGATGATTGCGACTGCGACAACTGCAATCAGTTCTCTCCRAGTTTCTATGTAAACAAGCCACAATATATACCGGTRCACTTCCTTCCGTGYGTGACTCTTCCGCAAAGGGTTGSGCTCTCCTCTAGTGTGAACTGTTTTGTCCAGCTTSGTCTGAAGTACAGTACGAGCATGAAATTTGACCTGTGTCTTCGATCAAAAATATCAATCCTCACGAAAACGTACGAGATCGTACGAGAGTGCTTTACAGAATTTACGATTTACGCCAAGCAAGAGATCAGTGCTCGTACCGTACGGTCCGTGTGGTACGAGTAGCAGGTACCCGGTACTGTGGCACTCCTAACTGTACATTACGTAATTATGGAATTCATATTCGTACTTTTTCTTCAGTGGCGGCAGGTGGATGGAATATTGAAAACTGTTCCCCCTTTTCTTATCCCCCCATTTTCACACCCAAGACTGAGTGACGAATCATTCCCGGCCTCAGGTCTATGTTTCTGGCTGGCGAGTGAACGTTACCGGTATGTTTATTGACTGGCGTGACATCCTCGTTGAAAGTCGCAGCAATAAGTAAGTAMTTCGGCAGAGTGTTTCTTGCGATCGCAGCGTACATGTAGTACAACCAGTACACAGTGTACGCAACGACCTTCGTAGACTCTCCGCTCAGGAACCAAATCTCGSTGTACGATATCATGCATCTTTCGAGAAGGAGAGTCACATCATTACCACACAATACTTTCCGCTGCGAAGCCTTGTGCAACGAATCACGTACTACCCAGCACAATATAAGAACAAGAACCTATCATTCACCATGGCTGATAACACTAAGTTCGAAGATGTAAGTTAAAGTTWCCGGAATAACGTACAGCGGTTTACTCGGTGCATCGTTCGTGTTGTTGAATAGGAACGGGACAGAGAACTCTTTCAGATCTTCGTTCGTACGAGGAAGTTTTGCACGAACCGCGCGCATCTTCCGTCATCCTTCACATCGAATTCTCGTTGTTCAGGAAGGTTGAGGTGGTGACCTAGGAACCGAATGAATATCATTCAAGACAAACAAGTTAAGACCATGATATTGTTGTGTTGCCTTCGTATTTTTGTTTTGCTAAACAGCCTGTGGCTTTATTTTTGTCTTCTCGCTACAATACGTCTTCAAAATTCAAAACTCGCTCCGGTTTTCTCCCACAGCGCAAAAATGCGTTCAAGAAGACGGTTGACGCAGAAGAGGGCCGTCGGCGACGCGAGGAAACCACTCTTCAGATTCGCAAATCCAAAAAGGATGCTCGTCTGGCAAARAGACGTCAGATGCCCACGGGAGGTCTTTCTAATCCTACAGCTGCTGGCATGGCAGCCGCTAACATGCTGATGAACTCGGGCGACAACACGTACGCCAATCTTGCCATGCAGCAAAACACAAGCAGCCAAGCAGGAAGAGCTATGGCCCAGTCCAAGCTCGAGCAGCTTCCAGCGATGGTGCAGGGTGTCATGGGCAATGATCCCACACTGCAAACGGAATGYACGACCCAATTCCGTCGGCTTCTCAGTATCGAGAAGAATCCCCCGATTCAAAATGTCATCGATGCCGGAGTCGTCCCTCGTTTTGTCGAATTTTTACAGCGAGACGACAACCCGGCACTCCAGTTCGAGGCAGCATGGGCACTTACGAATATTGCCTCTGGTACAAGCGACCACACGAAGGTTGTAATGGAAGTTGGAGCTGTTCCYATCTTTGTTCGCCTTCTTCTCAGTCCAAACGACGATGTTCGTGAACAGGCTGTCTGGGCTCTTGGGAATATTGCAGGAGACTCGCCACCTTGCCGGGACTTGGTCTTGCAAGCTGGAGCCATGCAACCGCTCCTCCAGCAACTCCACCAAAACTCGAAGCTCAGCATGCTGAGAAACGCTACCTGGACACTCTCGAACTTCTGCCGAGGAAAGCCCCAGCCTGACTTTGAGATGGTCCGCCCTTCCCTCCCAACTCTCTCACAACTTATTTTCAGTCCGGATGAAGAAGTCCTCACCGATGCATGCTGGGCGCTCTCGTACTTGTCGGATGGGCCCAACGAGAAGATCCAAGCAGTCATTGAAGCCGGTGTCTGCCGAAGATTGGTAGAGCTGTTGTTGAACCCATCTCCAGCTGTTCAAACCCCGGCATTGAGGACCGTTGGTAACATTGTTACTGGTAATGATCTGCAGACTCAGTTCATCATCAACAACAACGCCCTTCCTTGTCTGTTGGCACTTTTGTCAAGCCCGAAAAAAGGTATTCGAAAAGAAGCATGCTGGACCATCTCGAATATTACGGCCGGTAACAAAGARCAGATCCAAGCTGTCGTGGAAAACAACATTATTCCACCATTGATTCAGCTTCTTACSAACGCCGAATTCGACATCAGAAAGGAAGCAGCATGGGCTATTTCGAACGCAACGTCGGGAGGCAATAGCCAACAAATCAAATTCCTKGTTCAACAGGGATGCATTCGTCCTCTTTGCGACTTGCTTACCGTCAATGATCCCAAGATTGTTACCATTGCTCTCGAGGGCTTGGAGAATATCCTCAAGGTTGGCGAAGAAGAGTCAGCTGCGACTGGTCAACCGAATTCGATGGCTGTTTTTGTTTCCGAAGCCGAAGGTCTCAACAAGATTGAAGATTTGCAGCAACATTCAAACAACGATATCTACGAAAAGTGTATCAAAATTCTCGAAGCYTACTTCGGCGTCGAAGATGAGGAAGAAATGGCTGCATTGGCGCCCCAGATGGAAGGAAACACGTTTGGATTTGGTATGGATCAGCAACAGACCCAGGGAACATTCGATTTCACCCAATCGTAAAAACTCTGTCATTACACGATGACAAGCGAATGTCTCGATAAAATAGAACCACGCTATGCTCACGTAAATGTGATTTTAGCGAGACAAGTCGCTCTGATAATGAAGCAAGTGGCCTCTTGCAATCAGAAAAATATTTAATTTCTGTTTGCAAGAGCCCATAACAAAGGATGGATATGTCCCTTCAGTATCGAGAAGCAAGCAAATAATTCATATCCACTTACGACAAGTAAATGACAACAATGGGTCGAACTACGAAGAAAGAAGTCAATCTGAAACTTCTTGATTATCYAAGAGTGTTTAAGGGTCGCTTTTTTCTTCTGATTGTTGAATGCTGGATCGACTRGCGCATACAGCACGAGTTCCCCATCTATTCTATCCTAGTAGCGATAAAGCCTAGAGATTAAGACTAACAAATCCAAATACTGAAKCAAATACTCATGCAAAACATCAATGAGWWTCTCTGTCTCTCCCYCTTTCGATTTCTGTTCTCTGTGAGGATTTTCTATTGCAGTGCTACAAAAATCCTATAGGTTTGGTTTACTATTCAGTGCACTTGAGCTTTCTCTCTCAGTGGGGCCTGGAAGCACGCGTCAAACACCAACGTCACGGGTTGTTGGAGGTGTTCTCCTAGTCTCTGTAACCTTGCATCTCCAAATTCTTCGTTGGGAAGAGGACAACCCTGCAAACGAATTAAAACATTTCCGGACGATCGCGAACTCTGCTGCTGAACAAACTCAACAACAGGGAATGGACGTATGCCATCAATTGTATGRCCGTTGTGTCCACCCTCTCCTTTGTCGTCATTGGGGTTTTTGTTAGTGGCTTTCCTTTTCTGTTCCCATCTTTCCATATCATTCGTTATGGTCGATGCAGATCCATTTTCGTTGGGCTGAAAATCAAAGTAAGCTCCCCGTAGAATGTCAACATTCCAGCGAGGCTTCGGAAGTGCACCGAACACAGGGGAGTCTACAAAATCATCATCACCGTCTTCGCCGTCGTTCTCGTCTGAAGATTCGTCTGCGTCGACGCAGGTATTACCACCCAAAGAGAGGCTTTCCTTTTGCACAGGAGTTTGCCCTCYATCATTTCTTGTTGTCGAAAGCTCCAATACTTGTCCTAGGTTCTTTGCAAGACGCTCCTGTGGCACGCATTTTGATCGGATTGAAAGCGAATGATAAGTCGAGGAATGAACTTCACAAGTAAATATTATACCTTACAAACATTAGCAGCATCTAATGAACTCACCATTACTGTAAGATACAAGGTTAAGTTGTAATCCCAATCAATACGATTCATTTCTCGACCCTCAATCCCATGGTTTTTCCCATCCCTATTGCGTTCACTAATCGATGGCGGCGGCAAACACGAATTTGTCCCGTCACGACGACGAACTCGAACATGGAGTGGGGTCTTCCCACTGCTACTGGTATTGTTCTCAGTGCTGTGGTAATTGTGGAATGAACACTCCACCACATCTGGCCCGTAATAACGCAAYAGGGCATCGGCCATGTCAGCACAATGTTGGAATAACGCGGGGGGTACACCGTGACCATCTAGAACAACAGGTCCATCCAACTCTCGGGCTGCAGATAAAAAGTCTTTTTTGCCCCTCGATAGCCGTCGTGCTGCGTCGGCTCCATTGATAGTTCTCCCTCCATTATTGACATTTGCAATCAGTTTGCCAGATCCTTTGCAGTACTTCAATGGGTCCAAGAGAGCAGACGCGTTCATGGACTTCATGACGGTTGAAGCAGCATTATTCCCTTYTGTATTCTGGGAAGCGCAGGATGAATCTGGAGTTGATGCAGCGTCCTTTCCGCATCGTATTTTGTAAGTATATTGTGACGATTGAATGAGTGAAGGCCCAGCGTCGTGTTTCTTTCSCTGAAGGTACTGGTGGTGTTTGCGCTGCCTATTTTTTTCCCATTCTGCTCGTTTCAAACTCGTCGATTTYTGRATCGGTTGCTGATGGTTGTAGGAATATTTTTTTGCGTGCTTCTCTTCACCATCTGAAGGAGATTTCCCTGAATACGAAAAGTAACGCTGATTGAACGACGTATTGCACCTAGAGATCCCGCACCAAGAAATTGGCGGAAGTCGCTTTTTTGCGAACACCGCAGTTTTGTTCACAACAGCTCTGCAAGGGCGACTGCTCAAGGGAATCAACGCCATGTCTTCAAGTTCATTGTTTGTTATCACTTTCGCTGGCGGTGGTATTTTGAAATTGAAATTAACGATGGAGCTATGAGATTGACCATATTCTACCTCATCAGYCTGCTGTACAGGTAGCTTGTGACGTGATCCCGTGTTTCATGGGTTGTGGAACAAATGATGATAATAATAGTACCGTACGTATGTACACGGTACTCTCGTACTCCTACGTCTTTCCCTATTACGCTACGGTATGACAACGATTGATACAGTAGTTAGTAGTACGTAAAGTACTTACGAGTACTAGTTTTTGAAGGAGCCGCTTGATGTCGTAAACATCCGTGCCGTACACGCTCATTAGGATTCTGATGTTCGATCGAACTGCTGTTCACGGGCGGATTTTATTTGATATTTGGCGTTTCCTTAGAGTTGGGGATAATACTATTATTTGGTAGCAATCAAGCAATCTGATTGGCTGATTAGACAGATCAAAATTTGCAGTCCATTGCAATTCAATTTCCTCTTAGAATAAGGACAGCATGCATGATTWCATACTGGTAATCAATCCAAATATGATCATAAATTTTGGTAGAAATCCTAGTGGAATTTGTTATTGAGTATTTTGATCTGTCTAACCACCACCAGCCAATCAGATTGCTTGATTCCATATTAGTATTAAAACACACCAAAACATCAAATAAATACRCTTTTTGTGCATTTTGAACAGTTGTGATCCAGGATGATGTGAAAAATTGTGGTACCAGCAGGGACTCCAGGTGACCAGATCAATGACTACTATCTCCTTCTTGACTAAAGTAGTAGAATAGTTTTAGTACTGCTTGACGGAGACTGCGGACATGTACTATGGGGGTACATAAGGTACTACAAGTTCTTTGCTGCTGGGTGCCAAATAATGCTATCAATTTCAAACAGGTTGTTACTAGTAGCAGTATTGTAAAGCTTTGCTTGCTTGTTGTTTCTGCTACTAGCTAATAGAGGAGGATCAATAACAACAATTAGAGAATCTGTTAGACATGGTTTTTCTTCTTCTTACTGTATGACACGTGTAATATTGCTGTTGTTTTTTCCCTGGGAACCTCTTTCTTGGCTGCTGTACTTGCTCTGGTGTGCACCAAATTTCAAAAAACCCCTCACGCATTTATACAACATCATCATAGGGACCTGTCTCCGCTCCACCAGTTCTTCTTGTTGTCATATGCAACCTAGTAACTCATGATCACTGTATACAGCAGGGTCTATTCATTACTAGTACTAGTATGAGAGAAAGGGGATCCAGCAGAAGTTGCTAATTGATTGGCTAAGTGTTTTCAAAGGAATAKGGCACTATTGCAGCAGTAGTAGGGAAAATGTGAATAATTGATAAAAAGAACTCCAGTAGTAGTGCAAGCAGCAAAATAACCATATCAACCCATCAACAAGACCAGCTGCATTCAGGGCCTCTTCATTCCTTCCTCTGGTCTGGAGAGTGTGTCATTGTGCCCCTATTTTACTGACCCTGTATATGTRTCTCTGCTTTGTTTACTACTTAACAGTTTTCAAGGTTTTTGGCAGATGGATTCCACAAATGGCTGTGTAGAATGTGTAGAATCAGTACTACTACTAGATAATAAAAATGTGCATGCGCATGAATGAAAATTATTTTTGCRCATGAAATCAAACAGTCTATTAAGACACAAAAAAATATAGTGACAATGGTACAGTGCCCCTCTTTTGAATACAAATGACCTACTATAAGAAAGCAAGCTATAGTACTAGTATGAAGTAAAGCCTCATAAATTGTCTACTACTCTTAGCTATTTGGTGTAAGTAGCTAGCAGCATATCACAATGGCCTTGGAACCCTTTCAACCAGTAAAATGAAACTTATATATTAAAATTTCAGTTTGAAGGTTAATCTCATGAATGACATGACCCTTATGGGTATAGCACATTAAAATACAATGGGATGAGATCAGTATGATGACAAAAAAGAATCATCCAATTGTCATATTATTCAGCTTATTTCAGTAGTCAATGTGCAAACTGTACACATCATGTAGTGAACCAGAGGAAGTACTAGTATATAAAAATCAAGGGGATCTGGAAGATATGGGTCAATTGACTGCTGTGTTATTTTGAAGATCATTCAGACAAAAGCTACTACTACAGTGAAAACAACAAGAAAGCAACAGCAAAAACAAGATGAGAATAGCACCAGCTGCACCAAACACCTTACCAGCTTGGTCAGAGTGCTTGCACTATCAAAAGACCTATATTATTTGCAAAACTTTCAGAGAAGGAGGTGACTGCTCCAGCCCTGAGAAGATGACCAAGGGCCCACCACACTTTGTTGATTTGGAACAAAGAAGAAGTTCTATGGCAAGAGTATCACCAGGTCTTCTGTTTTTTGCCAGGTCTCTGTATCATCAATTACTTTCTCAATCTGCACCAGCAATTGTTCTTAATACCAGGGGAAGCTCATCACCTTACAGTGACCAATCATTGCTCCTCATAAGTTGAGGAATCTTGCCTTCAGTGGACTACAATGCATCAACATTAAAACTTGCTTTGACACACAACTGAAGGTTCAGCTTGTTGCAAATGACTATGTGCACCATGTAAAGAAGAATGGAGACATTGCAGAAGGTAAGTTTAATCAGCTTTGTTAATTGGGCAGAAAAAAATCAAACAGCAGTGGATATGTTAGTAGAAGAGTTTGCTTCCAAGGGAAAAGATGTGAAGAAGGGGGAGGAAGACAAGTCCCTTCCAGTTAATGCACTTAAGGTATTGTGCCAGTGGAAGCAGCAAAAGAAGATCCCTGCAAGAAAGAAAAGCTATTGGATATTTTGGTGCAAGTATTATTTTCAAAAAGAATTTTTCCAAACACACATAATCTTTTCACATGCCCGAAGCTAGTACATTCTGGTTCTGAAAATTATCACATAGAATTCCTACTGATTCCTACATACCCAACTTGCATCTTCTGGCATCGGAACCACCATAGTGAAATCTCCTTCCAAAGGGGAAAATCAACCTCCCTGACCTCCATTAAAGCACTCTAACCAAGRCATGAATTAGATCACCACTCTCCTCTCCATAGCCAATGGCAGTGTCCCTCACCAGTTGGATCCGTCCCCAGTTCTTACAGACCAGAAGTATCTTTTAGTCTTGAAGTTGTTGTTTCCACCATTTGTGCCAGACACCAACAAAATGCAAGTCCCCACCAGTACTCAACCAAGACCTTTCCTTCAAGTGAAAGAATAATGCCTGGAATATATGCTACATAGCCAGTTTACAATAGAAGATTTCCCAGCCTCTGCTCCATGCACTAGTTCCATTWTTTTTACTGACCAGAAGATGATTCCAGTTGCAAGGTTGTTGTTTCCAACATTTGTGCTGGACGACAACAACATCCACCCAAAATCTAATCTAGAACTTTTCCATMTATCCAAAATCCTTTTCTCCATGACTGCTTCTCCAAGCAGAGGCTTCATGGGTAGTACTTTAATCCCCTACTACCTCTGGAAGTAGCTTTCAGTCTTGAAGTTGCTGTTTCCAACAGCTCCTGTATCAGRCAACAAAAACAACAACTACACGAACAACTACAAAAACAGCAAAAACAACAATAGTATCAGTTTTSGTGTGTTGTTTATTTCAGACAGTCTGGTATTTTGATCTTCCTCCCCTTTTTCCTGCCAATGGTCCTTCTTCCTCCCATAATGGTTTCTTCATTTGTCAACTTTTGGTAGGTCAGTTCCTTTTGAAATTTTGTGGTCTTCTTTGCAACCTTTTTTCTCTGTGGGATTAGTACTAGTGTGTGGGAAAAGAAGTGTCTTCTTTTGTATTTTTGTCTGAATAGCATTTGATTTTGGGATTCACATCTGCTTTTCAAATGGTGCTGAGTCCAGATGTCAAGGCTGTAAGAGTTGAAACTTCGTTATCCCATTGGACATGAGCTAGAGAAAACTATTTTTTTAGATTTAAAAATAATTCTATTATTTTAATTCTATTAGCATTAAATATGGTACGCTAGGTTTTGATGATAGCACCAGGTTGCTTAAACTTTGTGACGTTGAGCTTGATACTTTTAAAAATAMAATCACATATCGGCAGAGATGCATAATCCGCACACATCGCCCTTGGCTTTGTGATCGTCAAATGATTCCCTTTCTGTACAGATTTGGACAAACCCTCCCGCCCGTGGATGGCAAACCGTGATCCTCCCACTTCCATCCGAACAAGGGACATCGCATCCCTCATTTTCGTTTGRTACTGCAACACCTTCATTGATTGGAACTTCTTCATGTCGATTTATTTCTTGTTGCCTTAAATCCAACGAATTACCAGCTTGTAAATCCGCATCTCGAACTTCGGACGCCGACGACGATGTAAATTTCGATGGTAAGAGACCCCGTCCCGGATCATTCCCCAATCTAGCTTCGGTGAAGTCGGTAGCCAAAGAAACAAAAATGACGGCGGACGAAATTATAGCACTGAGCACTGGAATGCGATTGATCATGGCTGGACGTTCTGAATGCAAATACTTGTACTTTTGTCTTGCATTTCGGTGCTGAACAAAAAAATTTATGACCAGGAAACAATCTCAAAACGCTGACTAGTACGAGTAAGAAAAAATAATAATAGTTGTCCTCCTTTTTCTCTGCTGCCTTACGATTTACAAAGAGCAACCCGGAAAATTCAGCCATTACGTATTGGTCAAACCTACAGGATTGTTATTATTACTATTTACAGTACTGTATTACTGTAGCATAAGTATTACTTGTACTGTATTTAATGTWAAGATACAAGTGTTTTCCGAACTTCTTCAATATTGAAAATACCGTTACGAAGAGAATACTTCTTATAACCACGATTAGATGGGTTTTCGATGCGGTTTTCCCTYGTGGACCAGTGCTGTGGAACAAGTTTTCAGTGCCGTATTCCATAAATGATTGCGTWGAAAACAAGCATTTTGATAAGAAGTGATCCATCGAGATACAAACAGAAAAATTAAATTGGCCTTTCTTTATGATCTTATAATTTTTCGGAATTCAGTTTCAGTACCGTTTTCAAAACCTAATCGTATTAGCGAGTCATCTATGGCAACTCTATTATAGTTCGTACGCGTACTCTATTTTACAGTAATCACCACTACGTAATAGTAGTAGTCTTKTAGTAGGATTAGTAATTACTTGATCGTAAAAAAATGATACGCACCGAACCCCATATATGTGTAATCGGATTTATATATTTTTGGTTTTTGTTCATACGATCTCTCGTATCAAGACAAAATGAGTCGGAAGTCGGAACCGTGTGGAACTTGATGACGAACTTTGCATGTTCCAYCATTCAGCGCTTTAAGAACAATAATAATATCCCTCTTATTGCACACGGTTCGCTTCTTCTGAAGGTGTAGAGACACATTTTTTTGTGCTTCACATTTCAACAATGAATGCATTGCAGTTGTTACCAAACGTTTTTGACAAGTCATGTTAAAAAACATGAATCTCTAGTATGGTCTTGTAAATCTCACAAAATAAAGCAATCCTATCCACAATAAGGTCCCYAAATATTTCGTTGTCTATTGGGGCAAAGTTTCTTCTTAATCGCATTCTTGTTTCAAAACAATGTTGAATGTCAACCGACTTGTTTTCATCTCCTCAATCTTTCACTTGGTGGCATCCAATATCCCAGAGGAGATTTTTTTCCACCCGCTCGAATGCAATGCTGCCCTCGCCAACCTGGACAAATGCGAATCATGGAAAGAAACATTTGGCGATTCTTCTACCCAAGCAAAGGAGATTTCTATCCCATGCGGAAAGTGTATCAATTTAGACATCTCTGAGAGATCCTTAGCGCTCACAGGTGGTTTGAATGTTATTGGTAAGCTCGTGATCTCGACGGCCGTTGACATCGAAACTCCTTTCGTTATCGTCCAGGGAGAACTTCAACTTAATTCCAACAAAATCTGGGACGGAACTCAAGCCATCACGATAACGCTCACTGGAACATCTCCCAAAACGTTTCAGCCGGCCGATAGCAATGCATCTAAATGCAGAGGACAACCGTGCTCCATAGGCAAGAAACCATTTGTTGTAGCTGGAGGGAAACTGTTGGTTGACGGAATGCCTTCTTCTGACTACGATACCCCAACTTGGGTACATATCCAGGATGTATTAGCCAACACAGCTGGTTCAGGTGCATCTGTTGCTCCTATCGAAGTCTATCCTGGAGTGGTAGATCTTCCGCTATGTTCYGAAGATGGGAAAATAATTCATGAAGATTTTTCAACTCCATCAAAGCCTACYACTTCGTTCTACCATGTGGACAGTAGCCTTGGGAGCAATTTTGAATATACCGAAAGTTCTCTCAAGGTGTCGGCTCGTCGTGAYGTATCACACGGGCCTATTTTCGATTTATTAGACGTCATTCGTTGCATCAAGCCAAATGTCCGCTACGAATTAAATGCTCGTGTCAAAACGTATCGGGATGACACAGGTCCCAATGAAATTCAAGAATCCAATTGCTCATCAGATGGCTCCGGATGTCTCGATATAATGTTTGAATGGAAACGTATGAACGGTTCTACGGGGAGAGAATATCCCTATCACGAAGAAGAAAGTTATAAATGGCGGTATGGTGACGAGGTAAGTGAACTTTAGCAAGCCTATTTCCACCATCATTTTCTGTCACGGCGATTGAGTCTAAGCGAACCGTCATCTCCTCTCCTGCTAGATTATCATTTCGGAAACGATTGTTTTCAGTGAAGAGATGTTAGAACCTTCCAATATTTATAGTATCTTCCATTTGTATGGGCCAGACCCTGGTGTTACCATTGAAGTCTACGAGTTTCAATTTAAGTTGGCCCCAGAAGCAGCCTATCGAAAACCYGGAGATGTATGTGGCGATCTTGCCCTTCCTAACGGTGACGCAGAGATGGATCCGCTTAGTTCGTTCCCTTACAAAGCAGATGCATACTATTCAAACGTTTTTGTTACTCAAGATGAGGACAATCTCAGCAATCACTACTTCAGAATTTCTGGTCGTGGTAACTCGCACCATGGCGGTCTTCGCTGGAATACAGGTATAGGATGCATGAGCACAAACTCTGTATACCGTGTGAAAGTGGACTATCGACTCCACCCAAATCAGGAACGCCCCAACCCTGAAACGTATGGCTTCAGAGTACGCCTAAAAGTGAAACGTGAAACCGATCGAGACAATTGGTTTGAAATTGCCAGATGTGGTAATCCCGAAGACGAAAGTAGCACTTGGCAAAGCTGTGACAAGCAATTTACAGTACCAGRAGGCCTTGTGAACCATGGCGACTTGGAGTATGAAATTATCTTTGAAACAGAGAGGTTTATCGATTATGATGTTGACAACATAAGTATTGTTCAGCTCTCAGGACCAGTTAATGCGATTAAGGTCGATGATTCAGTAAATGGAAAGTGGGGAGTTGGCGCTGAGTTGCTGATCACTTCTCACACGAACAGATGGGACGAGGAACAAGTTCGCAGCATTACAAAGATCGAACCATCAAATGAAGCTGGCTATGTGAACATTGTGTTGAACGAAACCATCAAGGCTCCAACAACCTTGAAAGATGACAACAGATACGCCACAGAAGTTGCAGTCTTGTCTCGAAATATTAAAGTACAGGGYGCTGAAGACGACCCAGATCCTTTGCATGGGGGACACATAATGATCTTCCTCACTCCAGGAGGCGGACAGAGTGTTGTTGGCCTTGAAGTTACCAACATGGGCCAGGCTGGAGAACTTGGTCGTTATGTAAGTTTTGTTTTCGTGGAAGAGCTATATAACCAATGCATTTCGCGTCGGCTCATTTTTCTCGTCCTCTGTTACCCTTCAATTGCGCATCCGTCAGCCTCTTCATTTCCATGTATGCGGAGATGTCACAGGATCCAGACTTTCAAAAAATCTCATCCGTGGAACAAACCAGCGTTGCGCTGTGGTCCACGGGACAGATAACTTATTAGTCGATAACAACGTTGCATATGATACTTTTGGGCACTGTTTTATGGTCGAAGATGGATTCGAGCGATTCAATACTTTCTCGAACAATCTTGGTGCGAGGACAAAAAGAGCTACACAGATCATTCCCAATCAACCAACGAAAAATAATGGGGACGAAACCGATAGAAGCGCTGCAACCTTCTGGATTACAAACCCAATGAATTACTTCGAAAATAATGTRGCAGCTGGAGGCGAGTTTTCGGGGTTTTGGTTCGAACTTCGAAACAGACCCAGAGGCAAGCTTTCCCATTTGTACGAGGGAAAAGAATGGAGTCTTCGTCAGATGTCTTTGGGAATGTTCAAGGGAAATGTGGCACATTCTTATGACTCAGCTGGTATTCGAACGTATCCACACGGCTATGTACCTGATAACGTTGCCGTTTTTGAAAACAGTAGAAGTTATAGGAATGACGCAAGTGGTATGTTTATCCACAATAGCCGAAACATCACTTTGACTGGATTTCACTTTGCTGATAATGAGCAGGGTGTTGATCTTGATCGAATTGATCTTTTTGAAATGCACAACTCGGAAATTGTTGGCCGATCTACAGGTATGTTGCGTATGGGTATTGGGGATCTTCATGTCACACATATTTCGACAAGCTCAACAAAAGATCAAACTAACATCTATTTTTTTTTCTTCTCCTAAAGACTACAGGGACAAAGTTCTTTCCCAAAAAGCCCCTAATGTTTGTGGAGGCAACCCAACTTACGTACGAGGAGTTGAGATGCACACATTTCGAGCTGCGAGAGGGCTAGAAAGTACATTGCAAGGAAAGTTCAACAATGTGAAATTTTCAGGCTTCAATGACACAGGATGTAGTGATTCAGCTGTTTTCTGGGCCGATGACGAAGTCCGTGTCCAGAGTTGGGACTATTGGACCTCCCTGGAGAACTCTGAAGTTGAGGGATCTTTTGAAGGATACATCGCTAACTTTTGTCGGGCAGTCAACGTCGGTATTTTAGGTGAGATATTCTACAATCTTCAACCTTGTACTTGTTCTTTTTCAACTTGTATTCGAATTCTCTTACATTTCTTTTTCTTTAGATTCGTATATCATAGACAAGGATTCTGCATTTGGAAATGCTTTCGGCAGTTCAGTCGAGGGTCCATCTACAATCATGACCTATACGAATACCAATAAAAAGATGCAATCTTTCGTTGAACCGACTTTGTGCCATGATTACCCAGAAAGTTGCTACAGCTACTGCGAAAACACATGTCTTCGCACAGTCACATTCCGAGTAGACCCTGCCTGGTCGGATAAGAACAAGTTGAAGATTTGCAAGAAAAACGATCCRCAAAATAGATGCGAGGTGTTTAATAGTTGGTACAATGCTGATACAGGAGATCGATTCCGAATCTTTTCTCCTGCCCTACCTGCTGGGAGTTACGTTGCTGAATTTATCGACGAGCTTGACCAAACCGTTTGGCCACGTGGGCTTAATGTCACSTATGAGACCGATATGTGCAACCAAGGTGGTCTCTCAGAAGGCGATGTAGAGTGGACAGTGCCAAAAATTGATCCAAATAACTGTAAAAACCTTATAGCTAATGGTGACGCAGAAGCTTCGGACACTGATCCAATATCCTGGGTTTTCGAGCGAAACATGGGAATTGAAATCATCAATCTTGCGGGTATAGATGGTTCGAATGCATTTGGTGACATAAAGACGGAGTCTCATGATGATGGACTTACACAGCATCTTGATACCCGTTGTCTCTCACACAACATTGGTCGCCAATACGAAGTCAAAGCCTACGTAAAACTTATTGATAACAATGGAAAAGCTGTATATTGTGACCCTTCCGTAAAGGGTAGCTGGCATTGTCCACGAATTATGCTACATTATGGCATGCATCGGCGGGACAATGAACGATTTCTTCGAGATAGAGAAATTGAAATAGGTGTCACAAGATCCAGGCATACCAACAACGAAGGCTATCAACTTGTGAATGGTATTGTCACAATAAGTGAGRGTTTGGCAGATTCAACTAATGTTCGCTTGTATGTCGAAAGGCGTTCGAACAGCCTCGAAATGTTTGTTGACGACGTATCGATGACTCTGCTATCAGAGTCGAGCTGTGACGACGAAGACGATGAACTGGTTTCAAATGGTGGGTTCGATAATGGATCATCTGAATTGTGGAATGATTATGATGCTGAGGGGCTTCAAATTGTGTCCCCTGGAACCGGAGGAACTGGATATGCATTGAAGATGACTACTGGATCCGCAGAACACTCTATCAAAAACAACTGTATTGTAGCTGGAAATCGTTACATTGCGCAGGCTAAGTACCGTTTACTTGATAGAGGAGGAAACCCAACCAGCTGCGACCCCCAGACAAATAATCCGAGGTGTCCTGAAATGTCGTTACGCTTATTTGATGAAAGCAATAATTATCTTGGTTACGTTGGTGGAATCGCGCGGGCTTTAGATTCTACTTCAGATACAGCAGATAACTTCTCCACCCTGTGGGGTGTATTTGAGGCAACAGACTTAATTGAATCAGCAGCCGACGTTCGAATTTTCTTCCAAAGAACTGGCTCAAATATGATCCTGGATAGTGTATCAGTGAAGGAAATTGGAACTGCGTCTGAAGCATTGATGGGGAAAACACTAACATCGTCACAGGGTGAACTCATTGTGAATGGTGATAATGAACTGGGCGTCGCAAACTTTTGGACAGGAAGTGGCGTTAGCCAAGATAAAATTTCAACTGTGAATGGATTCGGGGGAACAGGAGTGGCAGTCCGAGTGACAGGGCGTAATCATTACCATAGAGGTATGTGGTATTCGGGTGAGAAATACGTCGATAAGGAAAATCGACTAATCCCATCAAGCAGATGGAAAATCTCGGCGCAAATYAGACTTCTTGAACCAGGGACTGATAACGGAGCGGAATGTGACATTTCTGAAAGAACAGATGCATCCAAAAGATGTCCTCGCTTCAGAGTTAGATTTTATGACAAGAGCGATCGCTATACTCCAGTTCGCGAGGAAATTATCTATTCTTACATTGGAACATGGAATACCAATGGTTGGAACAGATTTGAAGGCCAAGTTGAAGTGCCTTCGACCAGCACCTATACGATTGACAAGATTGTGATTTTGGTGTCAGATGCCCGTAAAAACGTCGATATCGCTGTTGATAACTTGAGCATGGTTCCGTTTCCTTAAAATTATAATTTGCTCACTAATCCCTAAATATCTGACACTGTTTTAATGACGAATTTCAATCTAGCTTTGCAATAAGGAATGATCCTGGATAATATGAAATATTAGTTGATGATTACGTTGACTGCCAGATTCTYTTCTACGCATTGAATACTCCCATTGGGTATGTTCTCAATATCGTTTTTCCAGTAAATTCGATCAAAACCATTGAGATGGAACCACAAATTCATATAGCATGGCTAAATTAAGTTGAATGTTTAGATGATAGATCGTTTTCAATTTAAAAAGAAAAAGTTATTCAGTTCCTTATCGAATTGTTGGCATCCCAAATGCTAAGTCTCCCATCGGAAGAACAGACGATCGCCGACTTGGTGCAGATCCGAAAATGTTCCAGAATCGCAAAGACTCGTCAGCCGCTGCCGAAACGACAGTGCTGCCATCCGGACTACACGCCAGACTAAGTATACGATGAGTATGGCCAGTCAACTCTTTAACTTTTGTCAAACTCGACCTGCTACCGTATTTCCATAAGATCAATTGGTTCTCGGAAAAGCCATGTGAGCTACACAACTCGCGCTGGTGTTTACTCCAAAGAATAGAGCATACCTGTGACCCTGTATCTATGGATTTCAACATGGCGCCACTATTTGAGTTCCATAATTTGATACTTCGGTCTGCTGTTCCGCCACCACTAGCTAACAGTCCTCGATTGAAGGGACACCAGTCTAAAGCTTTGACTGCAGCCTTGTGCTGCTTCAGGACCCATCGAGGAGAGATATCAGAAGAAAACATGTTGCTTCTGCTTCGAGATGACATCGACGCATCCCAAATACATAGGAAATTTTCATTTCCTCCGCTAGCTAAATTGGTRCCATCCTCTGTCATATTTTCAAAAAATGTGAGTGTATGGTGCGAAATCAATAGGTCCCAAAAAGTCGCCGAAAACGAAAGATGTTAGAAAGAACATACCATTCCACTTCAAACCACAGACTTCTTGTTCATGAGCCTTGTATCGAGCCACGACATGATTACCAGATCGTACGTCGTGCTGGAGAATCATCGAGTCTCTACCCCCTGAGCTCAACCAATTTTGATTCCATGCCATAGATGCTACTCGCCCGGAGTGACCTCGAAGAATCCTCACTAATCTCGAAGCTTGCGTGTCCCACAGTTGTACTTTGTGAGAATTTGTTCCAATCGCTAAATACTTTGATTGCCCCGGTATAGTGCACCATGAAACAGATGTGACATAGTCATCGTCGCCTTCGATAGTAGTGAGATGATGGATTTCGCCAGATCCTGCATTCCACAAATAAACGCAATGCGCAAGTGCCACTGCTAAAATGTTGTCTGCACTCCAACTTATCAAATTCAAGTAGTAGTCGTCAACAAGGTCTGGGGCATCTAAGATTCGACACGGTTGGCTCGGAATTTTTCGATTRATGACATCTGCACTTCTTATAGCCGAAGAAAATCTGTCGTCAATCGATTCGAARTGCTGCAGCACGCGCAAACTGTCATGGCTGTAAGGATCCTCMAACCGAATACGATTYKTCTGCCAAGGTGATCTCTCGCAACTGCTAGGATTGTTTTCTTTTGTTGTACTTGAATTTTGTGCCCCGAAATTCAAAATCCCACGAGGCTGTGCATCATCGTCTAACATATCCAACGGAACATTGCACAAGGAACTGAGCATTCGACGTTTGTATTCTTTTTGTACTGGCGTTTCGGCTGGTKTTTGCGCCTTCTCTTCCCCCCCATCGCCACTGACATCATTAGTGTCGTTGAMGGAATTCTTTCCCTTGACATTATCGTCATCAGCAGATAACAGTTTCTTGCGACATATGTCTATGTTTAACATGGAGCGACGAGATGGTATGAACCTGTCACCACCGCTAGTACCACAATAAGATGATCCAGTCGGCGTAATCCGTTGAGTGGAAGGGTAGCGGGAAATAGTCGGCGATGGGGTCATCCGAAGTTTTCTATGGCTGCTTCTTCTTAGATTCCGCGACGGAGTTCTGGCCGGCGTTCGAAATGGTGACGATCTGGTTATCGACGCATGGCATTTCTGCTGCGATCGCGGTGGCGTCTTCATAAATCTGTCTTCCACCATCGTGAGAATTGAAATTTATTGACCCCACGTTCCGGCGACTGCCAACACTCTGGCTGGAAACGAGGGGATGTATAACAATCGATCCTTTAAAGTACGTTGCTACTGGGAGATGATGATAAGATCCCGATGGTGACTACACCTTAATMCATAGATTGCATGTAATTGCACTCTTTGGTCGTAGTATCTTCTAATCGATGAATGCACGAAAACCTGTTTCTCCAGTGAAGTGATTGGGTTGGCGAGTGACCATCGCCAAATTGAAAAGGACCACGATCACGTAGCAGACACGTGAACMGTACTGAGTCTTACAGTCGTACCGCAGAGAATGTGATCCCTACGTAGGTACAGGTACTTGTCCGGTGCATAAGAAGTACATACGAGTACGTACGTAGTACTCGTATGAGTATGGGATAACTGACAACAAGGGACAAGGACTGCTKCTGACTTGCAAAGGAAAAAAGTAATATATCCCCATATAGTACGTACGGTACGAACTCGTACGTACTTTACGTAGTCCCAAATCAGATCCTTTTTTTTTTTTATTCCCCCGAATGATTCCTTCGGCCCATCGGTCTATTACCCGAATCTGGCACTACGATACCGTACGGGAATGACCAATTCAATTTCTGAAATTTGAAACACCCTTAAATACGTAAGATACGTACGTACGACCAGACGTTCGTTTCTCTTCGAAATCTTTTTCATCTCAATTATTGCCGTAAATTGCATACTTCTACGTGTTTACAAAAAACAATGTTTTGGCTGCTGCATGCGCGCGTTGGGTACAAAGTACTTCTACTCGTGATCGATCCAATCTCACAAGTCTCACAAGGAGTGCGTACGATAAAGTATGTTCGTACTCGTACTCGTATGAAATAGTAGTACGAATTACATTAACTTCGTACGTGAGGATAGGAGGTACAAGTGCCGTCCAGTACGTACGTACGTACGTACTCGTACCGTAAAGAAGTCCTCCGGATGGCACTTCACATGAGTTTTGAGTTTTGATGATGGGTCTGACGAGTAACACGAACTGCAAAATCTCTTGCATGCAACGAGCCAACGAGAGAAAAACAACAGGYTCCCATTGAACAACAACAAACAAGGTGGCCTAGTTCCTACAGTGTGATCTCATTAAAACAGTATTTTACCGTGCTGATTGTTTGATCGATACGAGAGAAAATTTTCTTATCGCCAATACTCCCAATCTGCTGCTTAGTAGAGTACTTCCATAATTGCGTTCCGATGCCTACTCGTACTTGCAGAAGTCACCATAAGCCTCGGAAGATCCGTCAATTTTGCTTGTTGGTATATATTCAGTGTTTCCTATTCCTCAGAACTTGCGGAGCATTTCACCCATTGTGCAACGGCTTCCCGGTCAAAAAATCTTTCTTCCGCTCCAAAGAAAACGCACGACGACAAAAGGTTTGTATGTCGACGATGGCATCGTCTTCCGACATTCCGAATTGGCGTCTCGTACCCAAGGACGCAGATGACTATGATACGTACTTATCGGAGCGCCCTCCGTGGTCTGAAGAGCAGTACAAGGAATCTCTTGATCTTTATGAACAATTAATGAGTTGCAAGGATTCCTACGTAAGTCCGGCGATCCAATCGGCCCTTAATACATTGGATCACGCTTACAGGTTGTATGGACCTAGTTCGGTTGTCTGCTCTTTCAACGGTGGAAAAGATGCTGTAGTTATTCTTCACTTGGTTCGCGCAGTTCATGCAAAATACTACAACTCGACGGGGACGACTCCAATTCGGCCTAGAGCTGTGTATTTCAACAACGACAACGAGTTCACAGAAGTCACATCATTCCTTCGGGAAAGTGTGGACGAATACGACCTGGAAATGRTTGCATTYGAACATGGGGTTGGGTTCGCATCAGGCTTGAATATTCTGGTAGAAAACAATTATTTTCAAGGGACGAAAGAGGCAAGACCAATGGCATTTGTTCTCGGAACCCGTGAATCAGACCCAAATGCCGTCGGCCAAGATAGCTTTTGCCCTTCCTCCCATTGGATGCCTCCATTCATGAGGGTCAACCCTGTATTGCGGTGGAATTATGGTCTTGTTTGGCACTTTTTGAGACTTTTTAAACTTCCTTACTGCTCTCTCTACGACCAGGGCTACACGAGTTTGGGAACGACAAAGGATACGTACCCATGCCCTGCGCTTGCAGTAAATCGGGGGGAGACAAATGATAAAATCAATGAYCATGATGGCGAAGGTGATACGACAAATGCAAACTTGCCTAAGTTTTGGCCCGCCTACATGTTGRTCGATTGGGATCAAGAACGGGCTGGACGTGTCAAGAAGGAAAAACCCGGTGACACTAACAGCAACGATAGTACGACGAAAACAAAAAAAGACTTGGTKCGAACGAACAGTGGTCTATCGGCTGTATCCGAGCTCCGTTCAAAAAATCCCACATTAAAAAATGCGGAAGTYTTGTCAGACAACAACGCAACAGTAGATGATGGAACCGTGCAAACACTAGGAACAGAAGACCTGAAKGACTATGCTGGGGAAGCAAAAACAGTTGGTATAGTAGTTATTGGGGACGAGATTTTGAAAGGGATGACAACCGATACGAACACCCAAACSGCGGCCAGAAGTCTTCGGAAGGAATGTCTAAAACTCTCGCGGGTTGTGGTTGTTTCAGACGATGTGAACGAAATCGCTACGGAAATCCGTAGATTGCGCAACGAAGTCGATGTTGTTATCACTTCTGGTGGAGTTGGACCAACGCACGATGATGTCACAATCAAGGGYGTGGCAGAGGCTCTTGATCGAGAGTTGGTTTACAACGAGGAGATGGGTGACTTTTTACAGCAGAAAATGAATGCAAATAGTACCTCTACCGAAAACAAGGGATTGACTTCGGCACAAATCAAAATGGCGACACTTCCTTCGAATGCAAAGCTACGATATTTATCAACGGATGAGTGGCCTGTTCTACAATGTCGTAACATCTTTGTCCTTCCAGGAATTCCTGAATTTTTTGCAAAAAAGATTGAGAATGTTGCGGCTTACCTATCCTCTCAGTTGGAGAGGAGCACAGTGTACAAGATTGTTTTGAGTGTCGATGAGCAATCTATTGTTGACGTCTTGAACAATGTGGTGGAGAAACATCCARAAGTGAGCATGGGTAGCTATCCCTTCGTAAGCCATCCCGAATTTAAAACTGTAGTCACGCTGGAGGCTGATTTGGTCGATTCCTCTATCTATCAAGTAAACGACCAACGAAACGACATCAATGAAGGGCTCCCTTCAACGACATCGAAATCGGTCTCGTTAATAAGCGAACGAATGGATGTGTCAAGGAATTCTTTGTTTCTTGGACGCGATGCAATCATTCTTCCAAAAGACGAGCGAGATCAAAACGTCCGATTAGCTTTGGATGATTTGATTAGCGAACTTCCGAAWGGGAGCATTCTTCGTGTTGAAAACGACGATTTGGATCCGTTCGTTTAAAAGCTGTATCTACAGTACTACAAAAAATAAATTACAACAGATAGAAACATTGTGAAGCCTTGCAAAGCTCAGARCAATCATACTAATTTTGTTTATATCAGACCCTTTCTAGAGGTTTGAAACTGCGTGTTCTTTAGTATATCAGCTTTACGAGCGYGTTGTCAGGCCGAAACCAAAACCGAAATTGAACCATCTGCCTTGCACGAACCTTAGTGACTAGTAATCCTGTCCCAAAGCATCCAGTGGCTTCCGGACTACAAACACCTCTTCAGCGATTTTATCGCAAGGACTAGCCAATTAGTCTACAAGACTGGGAATGTTTTTGTMAATGATTTGACCCCTCACAGTCTCCCCTAGTGCCTCTTCTAGTATCACAACCATAAACGCCCAACTAAAAGCAAGCAYTGCCAATAATTATTATTGGAGCCTTTGGCAAAACTAGGCATCAAACAGGCACCCTTGACAGTGTCATTGAATCATTATTGTTTTTTTGTAATTGGTGTTCCTCCTGCTGGCTTGTGGAGAACCCTTAGTACTAGTACTAAAAAACATCATTAAAAATACAATTTATTGTACATTCTTGAGATATGGTGGAGCCACTAAGCACATAGCATAGTGACAAAACACTATGGCACTTATTTTTGTGACTCCCTTCATCACCATGCAATAATTGTCTACTATGTSTTGCATCAAAGCCACAATTATTGGTAGCAACAACAATACTGGTGGTAGCAACAACAATTGCATCCTTTGATGATTTWTCTCAATTGATGACAGCTACTATAACAGCACCAATATCATGATCTTGACAATCAYCTTCCTGATCTCTCACCCATCATGAGTTGAGGAGGACTGCAAGTTGAGATGATCCAGTAGGTCCTTGTTGTGTATTTTTTAGGAGCAAGACTTAGGAGAGAATAGCTGCACCAACTTATTATAATCCAGAGAAGAARGCTACAAAAGTACAATTGTCAAATGAACAATCATATCTTAACATAATCTTGCAACAACTAAATAAAAAACCTACAAAAACCTTCCTTTGTAGCATTCCAGCAAATTTGAAGCACTTCCTGTATTGGTCAATTTCTACATACTAGGAACTGCATACATATCACGGCAATTTTTTACAGCCAGGAGCTGTACAATCACTACTAATACTAACTGAAACTAAGAATGTTCTTGTCAYATGTTTTATAAGCCAGCACGGGCAGATGTTTTTTTGTTGTGGACATGCTTGGACCTCTTGTGGATAATTTTCCATTTTTTGAAGTGAATATCCCTACTCCAAAAAAGGCACAAAGAAGTACTAGTAGTATATCTTGCAATCCTAGATTTAGGGATTAATAATGTAATTACTACATATTCCCATCCAAATACACAAAATTTATTTACCTAAGATGAATGTTTACAAGAATGACCCATTACTATTTCATGTGCCTCCTGCACACCAGTTGGACTTGTAGAATCATGATGTAAGTCAAAAGAAGTAAAATACTACTAGTAGTACTACTAGTAGAATAGTTTTTTTCAACTGGAATAGTCAATGGAAACAGGTAGTACTAGTATGATGATTAGTCTAAGGGAAAAAACAAGAACTCTACTACTGGTGGTAGTAAAAATTCGGCATGAAGTTTTTTCAGGAAATTAAGTGGTTGCATGTGATAACTTGCTGATATGATGATGTGTGCTTTCATGTAAAAAAATAAAAAATCTGTTTCGACTTCCCCTCGCCGCGTAATACCGCAAAAGAGGCACGTTATTATTCTACGTACGTTTTTTGTTGTTCCACATTCCACATACTTATTGTCGTGGGGGTGAACTCGTATGGTCTGTACGTACGGTCCATACTCCGTGCCTCCGGCATCCACAGTCCATCGTCGTGTCTGCTTTGATTTATTCCTTCAGGGATCATGGAACGAAGAAGCAGATATTTGTTAGATTCAGTATCTGACACAAGCAGTAGTAGTAGTAGTAGTAGTACTTGACATAACTATTATTTTACTGTCACACGAACACGAGTAACCCCAGGATACTTTACGGCTCTGTCCCGAAGCACCCAATCTTCTCGACAAACGAGCTGCGTTGWTTCACGCACCGAACATCTCCAGCGGACGGTTCCCCCTTCGATTTCTGACGTTGTCTCGGCGGGGACCTCTGGCGAAGGCCGCCGAAAGGATCTTGCTCCCTTCTCCGTTCGAAGCCCTTGCCTCGATCGATCGAGCGGCGGTCTGGATTGCCCGGGTGCCCCCATACCGGCAGTGGCGCGTGGTGCCGCAGCTCGCTCATCGGCACGAACGTATCGGGGAAAAGCAAAGACAGACGGCTCGGCTCGGCGCCACAGCACAGCACGGCACGGCACAGCACAGCACAGCACAGCACGGCACAGCACCATGTCGAGCTCGTACAAACCCGTCGTCTTGTTGGAAGACGACGACGAGAACCAGAAGCGCGTCGTGGACGTGGACGTGGACGTGGACGCTGACGGCGTTGTCGACGCCAGCACGAACAAGAGAGAAAGCCCTTCTCCGGGACCCAAGCCTCGAGACAGTTGCGCTCCGATAGAGGTTGACGTCGACGCAGGCGTCAACGAGAGGGAAGGCCTCCCCCMGGGACGCCCARGGCGCCGGGCACGCCGGGAGCCACGGAAAACGACCCGCAAGAAATTTTCTAGCGCACCCGTCGGAGAAAAAGAAATGGAGGAATTGATGGGGATGGCCGAATACGAAGCAACCCAGGATCCGTACCGCGGCATGGGATTTCTGAACAGCAGCCACGGAGACGGAGACAGCGACAGCGACAACGACAGCGACAGCGACAGCGACAACGACAACGGAGGCGCAAGAACTATGGAGGAAGACGGAAACGACGGAACGGAAGCGGCACCGGCGTCTGCCACGCAACGCGGGGAAAGGACAAGCGGCAGGGTTGTAACTCCATGGGATGTCTGCCAGTGGGGCATTCTTTCTGCGCCAAAGACGATCCCCTCTGCACGACAGGATCAAGAGGAATTCCGCCAGGCAAACAAAAACCATGGTGTCATCGGCGAGGACGAATCGCGTGCTCTTGTTCTAGATGATCCACACAACCTAGTGCGAAACTTGACGGAATCTTGCTGTCCTTCCATACTCGAATGGACGAAACAACGCTTGGAAGAAGAAAACAAAAAAAAACAACAAGCCCGGAAAAGCAGGAAGCAGCGCAGTACCTCGGGAACGAAACGGAACAGATCAACTTCCCGAAACAACAACAACAACGACAACCATGAAATTTCACCGGTCTTTGCTCGTCTGGGAATGCGTCCGTCGGACACGAACTTCTTGTGTCCCTGTGACTTCAACCCGTTTTGTTTGGCTTCTTTGGGCGGATTCATGAACGAATTGTTGGAAGAACGATGCAAGAAGGGGATCACTGTCACGATACGAGACGACGACSTTGATGRCAGCAGCAAGAACGGTCCATCGAAGAGCTGCAAACGAACAAAGGTAATCGAAGTCGACAACGACGAAAAGAACGAGACCAACAAAAACGTTGAAATCCTCGACGTGGACCAAGAAACRAAGGGCGGTGCGTCGGAATCCGTATCGGCAGAAGGCGCAGGAATCCTCGCATTCTTGGGKAAAGTCAAAGACATGATCACACACGGGGGCAACGAGAAAGAGAACACCGCCGACGTTCTGACGTGCACGCGGCTCGGCCCGAGATGGAGAAAGCCAACGACCGGAGATCCGGCGAAAGTATTCACCTCGGAAGTGAATATCAGCGACCAGTATTTGAATGACACAGACTACTCGCAGATAACAAAAGAAGAAATCGAAAAGCTAAGAAAATACAACGACGTGGATCTTTCAAACATTAAAAAAGTCGTCGAGAATATCTTGGGGTTGTGCAGAAAGTCAAAGGCCGACACAGAAGTGATGACGATGGACGAGTACATCGAAACTCTAACCGAGTGGCACAAGTCTCTCATCTTTGTGAACCCAACCAAAGAGGAGCGCGACGTAGCAAGCGACAACATAACCATAGCTCTGCCYCCGGGAATACAAAACCTCGGRGCAACGTGCTACCTGAACACACAACTCCAGTGCTTGGCACAAAACCCGGTCTTTCTCGACGGAATCCTTTCGTGGCGTCCGGTGAGCGCCACGCACAAAATGAACGGAGTCATGACGAAACTGCAGAAACTGTTGGGRGAGATGCTCGTTGGCGGYGACGGAAAATACACCTCGCTTGATTTCTCGAATGCTCTGGGCATACAGCACAACGAGCAGCAAGATCCGAACGAATTCGCGAGATTGCTTTTCGATCGAATGGAAGAATCCTTTCAGCAGTGTAGTACCAGAAGTTGCGACACCAAAAACACAAGTGCGAACAGCAATGGCAGAGGTGACTTAGGHGGACTACTCCAACGAATCTTCCATGGAACTACTACCTACGAAACGATATGCATGAAATGTGGGAAAACATCGGTGCGGAGTGAAGGTTTCATGGATTTGAACCTTCCGATAGTTCAGCGGCAACCCAACGAAGAAGACGAAACCGAAGAATTCGATCACGATGAACCCAAGAGCAAAGGCGAAAGCGGGGATTCGGTATCTGCCAAACGCAAACGACGAAAAAAAGGCCCACTCGAAACTGCCTTTCGAAAACAAAGAAAAGACACCAAAGTTGCCACCGACGTTCAGTATTGTTTTGATCAGTACACCAAGGCAGAAATGTTGAACGGGGACAACCAATATTTCTGCGAAGTTTGCGACTCAAAGCAAGATGCAAAAAGAGTCATGACACTGACCGAACTCCCCCCCGTGCTCAACATACAGCTATCGAGATATGTATTTGATCGCAAAAAATTTGTGAAGAAAAAACTCATGGACGAAGTYAGTCTCCCGACGGTTCTCGTCATCAATCGACGCGGTGGTAGTGACTCGGATCTCTCYTTTCCTGTTTCTTCGTCCAAAAGATCCAGGTCGTGCAAGAAGAAAAGATATCTTTTGTGCGCTGTCATGAGGCACCAAGGGACGTCTGCTTATTCGGGGCATTACGTCGCAGAAGCAATGGACTGGACTACCGGGCAGTGGTACGAATTTAACGACGAAACCGTCACTATGCTTACTGCCCCKTCTTGTTCTTTCATTCCAGATACTGCCGGGAATTCGGAGGAGGAAAGAAAGTCTGCTGGTAGTCAAGACGCGTACAATATGTATTACGTAGACGAAGAGTATTTGGGGAAGAATGCAGTGGCGACGATGGCAAGGAATCAGCGACTAAACTCGGTACTGGGGARTAACTCCAACAGGAACGAATACGATAATTACGACGTACTCAATAATTTGATTCGAGAGAAAGTTCAAAGATATTCAGTCTTGACTCAGTGAGTACCATCCTATACAGAAACACAAGGAATAGTYAACTCCGTGCTTTCTTCTTTTTTGTCTTCTCACATTTATTCCTGTGTACACATTTAGATTGTGCACCGACGATTATACAATTTCAGACAGGCTTAGGCGACGGAAGGACGGAATTCGCAAATATATGTTTGGTGATCCAAGTTCTCTACTCATCAAACGTGGAAGCATAGAGGACGATGAGCCATACTTCTGGGTTGACGGGAAAACACTGAGAGAATTTCTTTCTTGTGATCGTAGGCTGGACGACAAATTAGGATCAAAAGAGCCGATAATKTGCTCCAAGTCCTTGCTYTGTCCGCATGGTTACCTAGACCCTCGGAGTGCAAGACGAGGGAARTTGCTTCGAAAGTCACAATACGATTCATACAAGTCACTGTTGGTCGGAGAACGCAAACTCTTGTGCAAAGCAATTGATGGAAAATGCAGCGACGTCACTGGTTGCGTGATAACTTCGACAGACATAATGACTTGCAGACATTGCGCCCAAGCATATTCGAAGGAACTGTYCGAAAAGTTAGAATTTGTGAAGAATGTCAAACATTTATACCACGACATTCTTGATGAAACGAAAGACGCAACTAAAACGTTTGTAGATGATCCCAACGAAGACCAAACAGAAAACGAATATTCGTATATTGTTTCGCGTTCAACAATATCMAAGTTCAAAAAGCATGTTATTGATGCGATGAAATCAGTAGCAGACTTTAAGAAAGGAGGTTCGCTCGATAACACCTCCATTTCAATCGASTCTGATAGCCATAAGATTCTGAGTGGGATTGATGATCTTGATATTTCTTCTTTYCCAGGAAGTCCAACGTTCGTAAGCTTTACTAAAACACCGAAGGCTGGAAACRCGGGGACTTATGAMTGGGTGCAGGAYAAGTTCAATTCGAAGATTACRTGTAAGTCATGAAATGTGTCCCCATTGATTTGAAATTCTTGGATATTGGGAGTATAATATGTTACTCACTACATCCTTCTTCTTAGGCCCACACGGGAACTGCAACGATTTCAATTTGCGCATAGTTCGCTATGTTCATCACAAAACATGGGCGAAGATCAAAAAGGTTTTCCCCGATGCCATTGAGCATAAAATATTAATATATGCAGTGGACGGAAAGATGCGGAAACCAAACATCGACGACGATGGTTGCAAACAATGTCGCGAAGAAAGGGATGCCATTAATAATCTCACTTCCAATGTTGAGAGATGGGCTAAGGAGACAAAGCGAAGTGTTGCTCTGAAAAATGTGCTGGACGGAAAGAATATATCAGAAAGTGAAATAGCAGTTCATAATTTTGACAGTGCGCAGAGCAATTGTAGACTGGTACACCGCGACGATATTGCAAATTTATGTAAATCGGTGAAGTTGTTAAGTCGGTTGTCGAAGTTGAAAGTACCCCAAACAATGGACATAAAGAATTTTGTCGAGAATATAGCGTTTCCAAGCTACCACTCTGTAGTGTTGGACTTCGAAAAACAGCCTAGCGCGAGGTTGCTGCAGAGTATTCGATCTCTCATCTGCTGCGAGCACAAACGTGTCATAAAAAGTGCCATCATAGATGTTTTTGGAAAGGACGGAAATCTTGAGCCYAGGTACCAATTATCAAAAGGTGTTGCCGTTCTTTCTGTTGAAGAATATGATGCTTATGTGAACTGTTTAGCGCAGCTGTTGATTATTCTRAACGAGAACTATCATCGGCATGAAGATGTAAATAAATCCTTACAAGACATCACTACCTCACTACTTGACGATATCAAGAAATTTTCCGCGTCGTGTCATCCAGTAATAAAAATGAAGACAAACGCAAAMGAAGAGGTGGACGAGATCCTATTATTTTCAGTGGGTGGTRATTCGAAAGAATTTTCAATTGTACCTGGAATTTGCGAACACGAAACTTGCAAAAAAGATTTTGTTCCATTGGTTCAAAAGTCTTCAAGAGARATTGTTGAAAGTGTTTCGGACGAAAGTTTAGAGTGTTTAGGAAACCAAAAGAAGGGAGTGGGAGAGAAAATTGATTGCAGAATTGGATCGGTTGCAATCAGCCCAATAATCGTTGAATCTGACCTGGAAGACTTCACCCATACCGCTGAGAACACCCAAAAAATTCGGGTATTTCAATATTCAGAAGATTCCGAACTGAAAGATGCAATGCAATCACTGAAGACTGCGGTAGGATTGTGCAATAGTGACGACGACAACGGTGYCAACRTAAACTTGCGTAGATCCACGCGAAGGCGCAAAGTCAAATTCCCTGTTGGTTGTATCACCCATGAAACAAGGATCGACATCGGCTTGCACCACAATGTAGCAGCACTCCGCTTGTTGCTTTATCAAAATTGCCAGATCTCGCTTGTATGTAAGCTGAGTATCGCCGTGTTTCTGGATGATAACTCAGCGCCAAAATATCTTGACATAGATTATGATTGGAGTGAAAAGACGTTGAACGATCTAGTTGATCAGTTGAATCCTGGTGACRATTCCATTCATGACCTACTCGACTCGAGTCCTTCCGACCATTTCTTTCTGTTGTATCAGAAGAACAAAGACAACGAGTCCGGGGATATTGAAACGACCATGATGGACTCCTTGCTCCAAGTATCAAATGCTCAGTTCCCAGATTCTAGGAACAACTCTAGCAAAGGGGGAAAAACTCGGAAAAAACCTTCAGAACGCGGATTTCARGGCACTCTTCTGCAGTCATCCGCTTCGTCGGGTGTAACGGTTGAACAGAACGTTTTGCACCTGGACGAAGCTTGTTACAACAGCGAAACMAATCCAACAATGGTTGAAAAGAGACCGAGATCGAACACCATCATATCCGACGATGAAGAGGAGAACTCCAAACTGGAYGCCACTAATTGTACAGTAACTACTATTCCTTCGCCCACACGCACGYCGATTGGACATGATAAACAAATGGAACTTGTTCGATGGTTAAAAAAGGTAACGGACAGCAAAGACGAAAGCGAATGCTTCGAGGCTATTTYGTGGGCGATCAAATCGAACCCTAAATTTAATGAAGGCGAAGTTATTAACGCCGCCTACGAAAAGATGCTAGGTCTGACTAGATTAAAAAAATAGTAATGATTTAACTATCATGCTAATAATTTTGACTCRTTGTTTTTAAAAGTTCAAAACTTACAGTACGGTATCATTTTTGATTTGTTTTGAGAACTCAAGATTGTCAACTAAAAAACTTSATGGACTAAATCCATCGATGACTTCTATTCACTCTGATATAAACCAATGTGATTAGAAAGCAATGAAAGAAGACGCCGTGTGTGCTTTATGGTACGGTCCATTAGAAACAAGTTCTGATCCAATCACAAAATCTTCGACCAGGAGTTTGGCCTTTTTGGGAACCCGCCCAARCGGTGGGGTTTTCGCCTCTTTGCCGCCGTAAATCTCAAAAGCACGCTTGGCGTGCAAGTCTGCCTTRTCTGCTCCTTGTTTGAGAAGAGGTCTCCACGAGAGATCTCCCATACTTGTTGCTTCACAGARAGTATCGATCTGTAGCTCTCGAGCTTGCATTGGGATGCCGGTTTGACGCACAAGGGCTTCTTCCATTCGTTTTACCGTCAGGGCAGCATTTCCTTGGGCCTGAGCGACCTGGCGTGAAACGTCACAGCCTAGTCGCAAAGAGAGAGGAGGTTTTTTAGATTTGTCACTGTTTTTGTTTTTGTTTTCCTTCGAAAGGACGCTAGTAGTAGTCACGGCAGTGCCCTTGCCGTGGGCATACTGACTATGCCACAGGCGGATTCCATCGAGATTTTGTCGCTGACGAGCGCACTGGACGGCCTTTTCTAGCACACGCTTGAGATAAATCTGACATCCTTCCGACAAGAGAGCCAGAGCCTCATCCTGCTCCGCTGATTCATCGTCGATCCAGGATCCTTCTATTTCGGTAGGTTTTGGTGCATCCGGAACAGTGACATCCGCTTCCGCAGTAGAATTATTAGCAGTAGTGGTTTCGTCCTCGGTTTCACCTGCCTCCAAAGTTTTTTCTGCATCTTTATTCGTAGCAGGTTTGGACTCTGGCTGCTGTTGTGGCGGAGCTAGGGAGGGGAGCGTCAACAGGCCACCCGCGACGACCGGGGCCGCACTTTCCGCTTCGAGTTTTCGTTGTCGAAGCTCATCCAACCGAATCCTGGACCACGCCGCGCGGGCAGACAGAACGTTCGACTTTCCCCAGCCCGGCCGCACCCGACCCGAGGGTGCTTCTTTATCGCCTTGCTGTGGCGATTTGTCTTCCGCAGCTTCTTCCTTCGACGACTGTTCTTGGCCAGCGGRACTGGGAGTCGCCGGGATGACGGCGGCAGTTTTTGTGGGAGTCTTGGTTACTTTCTTCTTGTTCGACACCAATGAATCAGGAGGAGAATCCCCATACAGCAATTGGCGCTCCTCGTCTGAAAGTTTTAGATCCGCTTTGCTGCCCAATAGTTGCCCTATYGAGGGCCAGTCATACTCCACCGCATGATCGATTTCTTCCATTAATTCCTTGTATTCTCTGGGTGGTTCTTCGATGATGGTGCGCTTCACAATGGTCGTGACTACGGTCTGACCAGACCCCGTTTTGGTCGAGGCCTTCCGGGTAGTTGCCGAGGAATCGCCGGCCGATTTCCGGCGGACGGTTTTCTTYGTAGTTTTCGTTTTGGTGGTAGATTTTGATTCGCCCGATGCCGCCCCCTTGGCAGTCGTCGAAGCTTTCGATCTCGACTTGGACGTTCCTTTCGCTGTCRCCGTCGGGGCTGGTTGGCTGGTCTGCGGTTCCCGCTTGTCCTGAATCGCTACGGCGGTAGGGGCACGTGTCGAAGCAGCAGGTRCGGCTCGCGGCCTGGCTTGGGATTCTCTGGCGGCGGTCCTTGGCTGTGAGGATTGCTGCGGTGCAACGATTGTCGGCGCCTGCTGTCGGTTGTTCTGCGAAGCAGCGATGGCTCTCCGGGCCTGGCTCTGCTGTTGCTGCTGTTGTATATTCGCTCGTTTTKKTTTGATAAAGTGCTGCAGGTACTGTTCCGCCTTTTTCCAGTAGGAGTCSCCCACCAGATCCCTTAGATGCTTCCTCATAGATACCGTGACACTTTCGAATCCGGGGACTTGCTTTTTGTTGTTTTCGGCGCACATTTTGATGRTTTTCTTTGCATYGAGGTGCAGTTGCTTGTCTTTTTGCTCCAGGTACTTTATGAGGACGCGAGTGAACATGAGGAATTTTTCTTTTTGCTTTTTGATCTCTTGCGAGGTCATCGGAGTTGCACGCGGGTGCGAAGGAAGGGTACCAGGTTGACGTCCCCTGACGGACGACGAGGGCTGGGAAGACTGCCGTGGCTGTTGCACCTGCAGCTGTGGTTGGTAGGACCTTCGGCTTTGGGAATGCGAATGCCCCTTCTTGATGTCGTCGAGTGGGGTGGGAGCGTATGGATCTGCCTGCTGGGGTTGCGAGCTAGCAACACCACGAGACTGCGGCTGCGTGCGGATTTGCTGTCTCCCGAGATGCGTAGGTTGCGATGGTTGGGGGCGGTGGCCAATGGGCTGTGGCTGCTGGTGATGGCTTCCTTGCTGCGACGACTGGCGATGGCTTCCTTGCTGCGACGACTGGCGATGCTGCTGCGGCTGAGAGTACTGCGGCCTAACCTGCTGGGAACGGGAGTATTGAGGCGGTTGTTGCTGCTGACCACCGTGCTGCCGGTGCGATGGTCTCTGCTGGGGTTGTGATCGAGACAATTGCTGCTGCTGTGGTTGCTGCAAGGGTTGCTGGCGGATCTGCGGCTGCTGCTGCATCGGTTGCGCTCTCGGCTGCTGCTGGCGCTGCGGTGGAAGCTGGGATTGCTGCATCGGGGGTGGAACGCCCATGCCCTGTTGCATGGGATTACCTACCGATCTTCCGGCCTGTGAGGAAGGAGCTCCACCGCTGCCGCCGGGGACCATGGAAGGGGCCGTCGACTTGCTCTTGGAGTAGAGGCTCTTGAGGCGCTCGTTGTGGGTTGGCGCCTGCTGCCTGGGATTCCCAGCCATGCCCGGGCTCCGGTTCATGGGCACGTTCGCATTGGTGGCGGGGGCCGGGATGCGAGCCTGAACCTGAGCGGGTGCCTGGGCGGCTACTGGTGCAGGTCTCGGAGCGGCGGCCGGTGGGGCGACTACCACGGCTTCCTCRTTGTCGGAGTCCGAGTCCGAGGCCATCAATAAATCCTCCATGGTGGCTGGTAGTTGTTGGGTTGTTGGCTAGAAAAGAAAAAAACTGCCGAATGCAACAGTAGTACCGTCTTAGGTTATGTTATGTTGTATGGTAACGCAAAAGAGCAGGGACAGAGAGTTAAGCGTCGATCGTCCAGCGGAATAGAACGCAACGCAACGCAACGATAGTTTGTGTGAGTTTTATGTGCTTCAAACAAGGGAGTGATCCGGAACAAAGCCGATGGTGCTCCTAACGGYGACGAAAGAGGGAAAGCTCGACGGTGGAACAACCAAATGGAGGTACCGTAGGTAGATGGAGAGAAAGTATGTTGTACCGGCACTGTTCTTCAATGAATCGCAAACACTGGCAGCAGCAATTGCATTGCAATCCTTTCGTCTCCTTTCCGTGATTTGGATCGTGGTCGTACTCTAACGAAACTCGTGAGAACGACCATGCCGGTTGGTTTTGATTGGGTTGGAAGTTGAAAAGATGCTCTGAACGAAATTTCTCTACGTTACCGTACG